TTTACTATTATTGCTGTTCTCAGTAGCGGTTTGGTCTGAGGAGACCACTCTATTTTGAACACTTGATAGAAGAAGCCAGTAGGGGTGCAACTGAAATATTTCCGTTTTTGAATCTTCTGTAGAATATTTTCTAGAATATTCTATAAGAACAAGGAAAGCCATGATGTTTTTCACTTTAATGATTAATGATTAAATTAAAAAATGCTGTTTTATTTTATTTGTTTTATTATTATTAATTTACAAAACTTGAAATACTACAAGATAATGGAAAAACACCACCGTTAGCAATTATTGTCATCACTAATAAACAAGTATTGTCATATGCTGACAAACTGCAACGTTTGGTGCAGTTTTAATTAATTTAAGTTTCTTTCTGCTCCAGATGGACTGCTTGCTAGCCAGCACACTGTTGTTTATTCTCACAAATAAATGCAGTGCTACCTAGCAATTCAGAGGAGCAGCAAAAGCATTTGGACTGCACCAGGCAATTAAAACCGACATTATCACATTAAGCTGAAGTTAGCTTCTTAATCGCCAGTTTCTTATTTGAATTTTCTGTTCCACCTTAAACAGTACAGGTGCAGAATGTATCTGCTGTACCATTTAAGGTGGAACAGTGAAAAGAAGCTGGCTAATAGGAAGCTTCTTCAGCCTATTATTGCCTTAAATTAGAGCTCTTATACAGACACTGAGACATTCTTGACCCTTTTTGCGACCCTTTTTCAGCATTAAAAATATTAACCCTAAACCACTGTTTTTGTGTGAGGTGCAGGCAGATTATCTTGTTCTGTTTATATGTAAGGTAAGCTGATTTTTTTAGTCCCATAGAGAACACCAAAGCCAATATTATGAATGCTTTACAATTCTGATTTGTTTTGTTAGGGTTTTTTATTTCTACTAAACAATGTTTAATTTAGTTAAATGGATGAGTCACCTCTGCACTTAAAGTTCTAAAGTAGTGACATGCCCCTTCCAGTTAGTGAATTCACCTATTTTGAGGTGCATCTCAAAATTTTTTGACTGACTCAAAGAAAAATTGCTGACTCATGTATTGATATTGTGCACCCGCACCTTGTACTTTCATAGAATAGCACTGCCAATAGAATGGAATGCTCTGGAGCAGCCTTACCTGAGCCACATCAAGCTTCATTTAGAGTGAAATGAAGCACCCCAGCATTGGGCAGTGGAAGTGGGGTGATAGAGCACCTTGGGGCTGATTTGGACCTCACTAATGCTCCTGTGGCAGAATGCAATCAAATCATCACAGCAATGTTCCAATATGTAGTGTACAAATTTACCAGAAAAGTAGAGGCTGTTAATACAACAAAGAGGAGACATATTCCCTAACAATACCCATGATTCCAGGGGAAACAATTGAATTAGCAAATGCCTATGAACTTTTGGATGTATAATGTAGCTGCATATCACTGTTGTCGGAAGAAAAACCTCTTATCTCCAAAATGGTAACTTTACAGGAGAAGGGAAAAACCTACTTTACTTTTAATGTAAGTCAATGGAACCAGAATTTTTTTCCATTATGATCCGTTTATTTTTGTCCATTCATCATGAAATTTACACACAGTGTAAAGGGCAACAGGTATTTTCAAATTATGTCAAAAACTGGAAAACGTCAAAAATGGAGATACAAGGTTTTCTTCCGACAACAGCGATATATAATGAACAAGAAACGTATGCTTGATGTCTTGAAACGACTGTGTGTGTAAATATACTTTGGAATAGAATCAAACGCTAAATGCAGATCTGTCTTCATTTCAGTTACCTTTCAAGTTAAACTGATTTTTGGATTCTGAATTGTGAGGGTTAAAGAACACACAAAGAAGAGCCCTTTTCAGACTTTTCTATTAAGGCTTCTCTTTGAAAGTGACTGCGCATGTTTAAGCTTAGTGCTTTCATGAAAGTTTACCTCAGTAGTCCTCAGCTCTAGCAGCCTCCTCTAGTAGCTCTGCTAACTAAATTGAAGTCAGAGACAGGAAGATAAAAGCCATGTTTCCGTGTCCTCTCCTCAGCCTCTGCTCTTCTGCTGTCAGTTGAACCTGCCACAAGAAGTAGCCTGAGCAATCGCTTTGTTGTTTCCTCAGCTCATTCTTTTTGAGAAAGTCAGTGAGAGAGCAGCTCTGAACCTCTGCCTCTGAAGTTTCTTCTGAGAGGGAATCTGCTCATGACATCAGAAAGATTTTGCCTCCACACTGTGTTTTCTCAGCCCTTTTGGACTCAGACATTTCCCTTAAGAAGTTATATAGTGTTTTGACTCCACTGGTCATCCTGCTGCAGTTGTGAATGGAGGAAACCTGGAGGAGTCCACATTTGGGCATAGAAAAACATAGTTGGGATTTTAAGGATTTTTGGAATGCCAAAGCTGGCTGCATTTCTCAGGCAAGAGATCACATCCTGTTTGTGTCCAATCAGTTTCTGGGTTTCAGGGGCTTTCCTTAAATCTATTTTCATTGTTTATCCAGGTATTTCCTGAGTCTGCAGACTGGAACTGATCTGCTGTGTACCTACAAGCCATAGCCTCATGAAATTGTTTGATTTTTTATTTTTTTTGTTTGGTCCATAATTGGTTTTGATAACTGTTGTTATTTCTTTATTTTCTTGAAAATTACTTTGTGTATCATCTCAGGATCACTGCAATCATATATGTACAGTTGTATTCAAACGTTTGGGTCCCCCTGGTCAAATTACATGTCTTGTTGAACACCTTCTTCACAGAGAACACATTTCAGCACGTTTTATACCACAATTACTCATTATTTATGTGGAAAAGAAAAATATAAAATGTGGCCTGTGCAGAAGTTAGGACATTTTTTTACAAAGCAAAAAAAATAGCACATTAAAATGCATATTTAGAGGATGTGTTATTTTCACTTAAAATCAAGAAAACATTTCATTTTACCAGGGGTATTGAAATTTTATACATTTCCTACCAGTCCTTGTATATCCATTTGTAACAATTTTGGATAGAATAACAGCTGACGTGTACTGGAAAATGCATTTTTATTTTTTAAAGGTGTTATTAGTCATACTATAGCATAGATGTTTTCGTATGTGCAAAGCCCACTCCCAACAACGTATATCATGAAAAAAAGATCTATAATTCAGAACACTACAGATGTTTTCTAGGAAAAAATAGTGTATTCTATGTATGGCCTGGATCAAAGTCATAGTATCCTAATTCAAAGTCATAAGGGAGTCTGTTTTTCCTTGAAGTCCCCTAGCTTCACTTATCAAGCCTATTAGGAGAAGAGGTCCCCTGGGATTCCATGCAGAGAGTGGTATGGTGTGTTGGTGGGGGGTGACTACTGGGTTACTGGCTGGTTTAACGTAGAAAGACTGCATACAGTGTGTAGGTGGAGGAGAGGTTGCTGAGTTGGCAGTGGCCTTTGGCACACCATCTGGCTCCTGCTTCTTCACTTTTCCTGTTATGTGAATGTCATGTTTTTTGTTCAGCTGCAGCACTGTCCTTTAGAGTCGCTGTGAAGCCACAGTCCGCCAGCTGGAGGAGAGCCAGGCATGCTCCGTGCCTCCATTAAAGCACTTTGACCCTCGAGTCTTGTGGTTCTCACTTCCTTTCCCATACCATATTAGCCTTCAGTTCAGTTGCTATGATGGAATTTTACTCTTCTGTTTACTCACAGTATCGGTCATCAAGTCTTCACTGTTTGACATTAGACTTTGCCCAGAGCATCTTATGATCACTTTTCAGTGACACTGAGCTTGTGGCACATTCCTCTTGTAATAGAGACATTCAAATCAAATTTTTGCCTCCCATGTAAATACTGACTATCCAAATGAGTCCAAAATAAGATCTGAAATGGAAATTCCCGGAACCCAAACTGAAATCCAAGATATATGCAGCCAAACACAAAAAGCTGACAATAAAGAAAAACAGCTGACAAACCTACTAAAAGTATTGCAGTATGGCAGCTACAGTATGTGCCCTGAAATCCAACGTTCGAGACGACAAAGAACTGTTGGTCATGCAATGCAATGAATTCGGTTATTTTTTTTCTTCATTTCAAAAGCTGATGCTACAGATGGTGTTAACATACTAGCAGGGGCTTTCTTTTCTGCTTCTGTTGCTTTGCTGTATTCTGCATATTGAGCAAAAAGTCTTGTTCAAACCTGTAAACCTCTTGATACTTGACATGAACAGAGATTATAAATCACTTGTGTAATGGTGTTTGTAGAAACCAGGAGGTAGATCCATGCAGCCAAAATTTTCTCTGCTCAAGCTGTCAAACTGACGCTGCAGGAGAGTAGTGCTTTTAAGTGCTTTTAATCACTATTTTTCATTTTTATTAGCATTCAAGTACTTTTTACAGCCTTAGATTTGACACTTTGCTGTAGGCCTATTTAATATTTGTTTGCTAATGCAGATGGACGTTTTTGGTGGCCAGAATTTCAGTGCGTCTCAACTCCATGTACATTGAAATGAGTATACTTTATAGTCTTTAGTGTAATGTTTGCTAATTGAATTTGATTGCCCGATCTGACTCAATCAGATTCGATTACAGTGTCTTAAATAGGCTTTTCAGGCTGCTTATGAGCGAAGTAGCCTACTTCTCTTTTGTCTCTGAATGTGCTGTTACTCGTACTGCTAACTGTGTAACAGTTGTGCACTAACATTTCACCTGCAGCTATCTGTACTGTGTCCTGATGAAAGGTTGTTAGCTTTACTGCATTCAAAGCCACAGTTATCATGAGCTGCTTTTCGACTGTTTTCTTTTTCCAGATTTCTAAAATGTGCCTTAATGACAAGTTGTGTAATATAGTTTATGTCACTTCTACGTCAGTGGCATAAATAGAGTAAAATAGCCTTGACAAAGGATTAGAATTTGATTGGATTTAATATATCTGATACCGATCCATATTATATGATTTGATCGGCTACACTACTTTTTTTTCAGGTCAGATTAGGATATACTTACCCTTATACAATGTTTGTAACATTTGGTTTCTTTTCCTCTTTATTGCTTTAGGCACACCTTCTGGCAGTACCGCAAAGAGAACCCCAAGTCCCGTGTGGGTGAGCCCCCTCCAAATGGCCTGCCGGGCTTCAACAGTGGGGTGATGCTGCTGAACCTGGAGGCTATGAGGCACTCAGCCCTGTACAACAAGCTTCTGGAACCTGAACGAGTGGCCCATCTGGCTGAACAGTACCACTTCAGGGGCCACCTTGGAGACCAAGACTTCTTTACCATGATAGGTATGGAACATCCAGAGCTGTTCTACCAGCTGGCCTGTGGCTGGAACAGGCAGCTGTGCACCTGGTGGAGGGATCACGGCTATGGTGATGTCTTCCAGCTCTACTACCAATGCGATGGACCAGTTTACATTTACCATGGAAACTGCAACACTGCTATACCTGATGACTGAGTGCGACAACATGTTTATATACCTCAAAGTTTATATCATCTCTTGCTAATGCAGCATTGTGCAGTGGGCCTTGACCAGTGAGTAGTGAGCACATGTGCTAAAGGTTTAAATTAGGTGGATCTAGGATCCAGAGGGGATTTAATGAGGATCTCTACTATGAGAAAACACTTGGTATACTTGTACTATTATACTGTTTATTCACTTTGCATCAGATGTTATCATATGTTTAGCCCAAATATCATATTTTTCAGTAGCTGCTACACCATATTCTCTGTGATCATCACTTTTCTTTAGTATTCTCTACATGACAGCTTTTTCTACCTTTTGCGATCATCCGTTTGCTTTTATCAAAACTTTGTAATGACTTCCAGTCAACAGAGCTACTCCTCTGCACTTCCGCATGCAAATGAGGTAACATTGCTTTTATTTTGAGCTCATTGAAGATGCACCATGCTGAGGCATCTGATCCAGCTGCTCTTTATTAAGCCTGTGATTAGTTGTTTTCAAACAGCGGGGTGAAGAGCAATCAGCATTTTTTCTCCGCCGCCCCATAACGCTGTGTTCTCCTGTTTACCAATAGAGGCCTGTGCTGTGGCGTGTCATGCTTACTCTGGTTCCTCCATGCAGGCTAGTGAAGCCAGAAAGAGTGGAGAGTGCTGGCACACATAATCTCCTTGTTTCTCTGCCTTTCATCTGTGCAGATAGCAATACAATAGCCCCCCAAGCCATCCCTTCAGAGCAAGCAGCTGATGTGTCCAGTTTAAGAAGGCCCAACCACGTGGGAGTATTTATGCAGTGATGATGCGAGGGGAAAAGCATGCTGACCCACTTTTCCAAGTTTTGCACACCGTGCTTAGAAACCTGACAGTCTCCAAGCTCTCTTGGCACTGCGCAAGTTCATGACTGCTGATGAGAATTAGGTTACTCTGGTTTGTGCATCATCACAAATAAGTGGAACAGAGAAGCCAAAACATCTTTAACATTCGACAGGCAGACCTTTCTCACTGTCTAGCCTCTGCGAGATTCCAGGAAAGCAGCATTGTTAGTGAGGTGCACGGATATGCCACAGAGGTGGGAAATGGGATTCCAGATATTCCAACAGGATTAACCTCCACTCTGTGCAAGGAGCGGGCAGCCTGCTAGACGTTGTCCTTGGCTGGCATTTATCAAGTAAGGCTCCTTTTGGCAAGCCTCCCCCAGACTCTATGCAAGTATGCAATAATCTGCGCAGCGTCAGATCAATGGTGCTGAGAACCAGGCAGTTATCTTGCCTTTAAAGTCCTTTGTGATGAGTTCTCTCATGTTTTGCCAACAAGTCATGAGACGCATTCCTGGTGGTTCTGTGTAACTTCTCGGATATTGTGAAGTTTTCTGAGTTGAAACTAAGCCACGTGACGCAACAGCACCAACAAATCAATCTCACATCAAGTCATAACTTTGAGAGCTTGAGTCAAGGACAGAGTGGTCCATGACTAAAACAGCATTCCATCTTTTTCTGGGGTCCACCAGTCAAGAAAGAGAAGTATTTTCACTTCTCATTTGATTTTTAATGAAACCTCCTTAATGTTTTGTTTTTTTTGTTGTTTATACTATCTATTTGTGTTCTATTTGTGTAATGAAGACATTGTGTTCATCCTGATTATCCTGTCTGTCCATGTTGCTTTAACAGTTATTGTGAATCTTATGTTTTCTATCAAAGGAACCACAAAGAACCTAAGGAAAGAATGTTCAGTTTTACAGAAGCACTTAAGCACAAAGATAATCTAAATGGAACATTAAAGATTTAAATAGTGGATACTCTTTCTGCCGTTTAATATGAGCTTAGTAACGCAGACTTTTCTCAGAACTGGCGCTAAGACCATATGTATGAAGAATAGACTGATTTAAACACTTTATTGAACCAAACAGTTCTTTCTCTATTATATTTTAGCCTGTGGTTTTTCAACCTTCAAATGTGATAAACTCTATTTATGAATGTCAACTGCAGAAGAACACTGTTTTGTCACAGAAGCAGAATGTATGAAAACCAAAGAGTAGCATTCCATCCGTTATTTTGACCGTTATCTGCACTTGACCTATATCTTGTGTGAATTGTTCATCATAGCTTATATTCAGATATAGCCAGATTTTTTGCACAATAATGGACAATTGACATTTCATGGACTTCCTAATGTATTCTATCAGTTATTGTTAACTGTTGCTTTGTCTTGAACCACATTGGTCATTTGATATTTTGACACCGTTTACAATAAATATTTAAAAAAAAAAAACTTTTTATGAGAAGAATTGAATAAGATTTTAAAGATTTCAGATTGGTTCAAATTTAAGGATTGGTTTAATCTTTAAACAGATTTCTACCCTCTTATTTTATTTTTTATTTTTTTTTTATCAGTTTTGCTCCAGGCCTGACACATGTCTGAGCTGGCTGTGCGTTCATATCGCTCGGTACCACTGAGAAGATCCAGCACAGATTCTCTGATAAAGACTGACTCACAAGACCCATTTCTGTCATCCATGCTCTCTCTGTGTCTCACTCCCTCACGTCTTTAGCCTGTAGCCTATATTTGGCATGCCCCCAGTCTGTTTCAAATGGCAGTTCTAGTGAGTTGGTACATAAAGATAGCTTTTATCAGAACAATATTAAAATTATATTTGTCAATATAAAACATACTTATTATGAAATCCAATGAAGTCAGTTTTAAGGTTATTATCACAACTGCAAGTTTGTGCCCAAAGTAGTATACAGTAGTTACACTAGAGTCTTTGAAGCTGTTTAATATTCACCATTAATACTGTGAGCCTTTTAGTTGCCACAAAGCCTTTCACTGAGTAGCGCTAATTATACTTTGTTATTAGACAATGCACAGTGCACCTGTAATTGGATTTTAATTGGCTTAGATCCTCATGCTGTACAAAATTATAGGTCTGTTCACCTTTCAAACAAACAATGCCTGTTCTTGTTTTATGGGCGCAAAATATTATGTGTAAAGCATGAATAACGTACCAATGTCCATTAAATCATATATTTCAGTGCACATCTAATCTTGAGTAAAACTAAAGGGTCATGTGGATTTTTCCACCCACACAGCTATAACAAAACGACCACACACATCTGCAATCAAGACAGCAACCTAGTGAACGCTAACCTACTAAGCATAACTATCCAGCACTCGCCTGCCTGTTGACTGTTCATTTATTCATCCAATCATGTTTTCCAGTTTTAATCATATTTTTGTCTTGCTGGATTTTTAATACAACATCCAATTTCGGTAGCATGCCGACCATTTTTAATATGTTACACTGTTCCCTGGAACTTTAAGGCCAGGTTGTGCTCTAGTGCTTTGATTACTTGGCATTAGAGAATTTTGGATTACAGCTGAGCTTTTGATGTTGGGAGCAACATTACACAGACCTCTTTTGTTTGTTGTCTTTCTCTTGTTTTGGTCAAGCACCTGTTCTGCATACTATACTTTCTTCCTTTTGATCTAGAACACAATTAAGATTGATAAAGTGAAGTCATTTCAGCTACTGTTCTGCTATTGAATATTATACTGTTTTTGGATGGTGCTGCAAGGCCTACAAACACAAACCGATACCTATATTAAGCGGATATGCAGACATATTGTGTCTTCAGGGTGTGTAACTCAGAGATGTAATTCACAGCTGTGAGGTCTGTTCTTATAATCTGTTTCTTTATTGCCGTCATGCTGACGAAAGGGAGGAGAATATAAGTAAGTTTGTGAGAAGGAAATGAAGACAGAGCTGACATTTCTGAATATGGATCAAACTCTCAGACCTCTTGTCTGCCTTTATGCAATATTCCTCTATCCAGTGGCTCTCTTGTGTGCCACAATCACATGCTTGTGTTTTTCACTGAGGGACGTTACACAGCATGCCTGCTAGTCCTTCTACCTCAGTCAAAAGAGCCATATCAGACATGGCATTGGGAGTCCTCTCCACAAGCCCCTTCTTAATGGGGATATGGACGCTGTAGTCTTCCTTTTCATGATTATTTTTGTCCTCTGTCTCGCCAGCTGCCTTCTTTTGCGAGGTCAGTCATTTGGACTGTGCTTACACACACTGTAGGATGCAGGTGAGAGCACAACTGACCTACATAGTTGTAACACACTGACCCATTTTCCCCTGTAAGATAACATCCTGAAGGTTTAAAGCATCAGTGTTTCTCATCCATTAGGTGTTCTGCTGTTTGGCCTATATATCTAGAAATGAGAAATAAGTCACGTACGTTATCCTTGAAAAAAAGTCAACGCATGTGAAAATGGAACTGCATTAAGGTGATTCAGTTTCTAAAGGTGGCCGTAAGATCAATTTGATCTACCTGTTTGTCACCAGCTGAACTTAATTGAAACCCAGACCACGGTCCTTTATCAGGAGGATATGGAGTGTCAGATTTTCATTTCACAGGTTATTTTCTACAGATGATGGCAGAGAGAGGTATTAAACGTGTTATATTACTTTTCTAAGGAGAAAAAAATATTTCAGTGCTTATGAAACTGGATTTCATAATAGCTTGCTATAATGAACGTGTGCTTCATTCTGACACTGAGATTTGTTATAAATAGTAGTTGATTATTTTAAAAGTAAGAAAAAAATGATGTCGTGATTCATAAAGGTATTTTGGTAAACTGAATATATTAGAAAATGAAACTCATTTTAATCCAGATAGCAGTCATTGTCTATTTTTTAAGGTGAAGTGTTTTTTGTATTTAAGTAGTGAATTTTTTTTTTTAAATTACAGGGTAGAAATTTGCAGAAAAGTCCCCTTTTTGTGCTGTCTGCGCTTTTCTGATGCATATCACAGAGAGCCAGTAAGCCAAATGAGATGTGATACAGCATTGAAAATACTATTGATTGAATGATATCACTGTTTTCTTTGCTGATGCTGATGTTGACATTTAAAACATAAAACTCAAGCCTATACTTTGCTTTAAAATGATCTGTTTCAATCAATCCTCAATTTGCAGCAGTATGTATGGCTATACTCTAGACTTCATAGCTCAGGAACGGTTTAACTTACAAGGTATGGCAAAGCATCAGCAAGTGATCCTGTTTGTGCCCAAAAATACCCCAAATTCCAGTCCTTATCCTGACATTATATCTCTGATTTTAGGCTTAATAGCTCAAGAGCAGTTTGGTTCAACTTACACACATGATACACATCACAGCAATCAGCAAGACCCTCTCTACCTATAGCAGTTTCATGTAGGCACTACAAAGCATCTTATGGCTAATCAATATGTGACTGTCTGATGCAAAAACCTTGTAACTGTAATTGACTATTTTTTTTTAACACAAGATGAAATACACAGATGCCAACACCACAAAATGTGAGTGTGTGCTATTTCAGAATAGATTTGTTAAAGGATTGTTTCAGATTCATTCTTTTTTTCCCTCCTATATACGCTCAACAATTTTCTGCTGATATGAGCGCAATACTGTCATGCCATCTCAAATGTGCATTTTTAGGAAATCTGGAGGAGCAATTCAGGAACAATACACTTTCATCTGTGGGGTTTTGTTCCCAATTTTAAGCACATGATCACAGAAAAGCAGAACTGTACGAACTGCAGGGACACAAGACCTCATGTTCGTCTGGGCTTCTGGGCACCTGAGGTGAAACATTAGAGAAGCCCCAGCAGAGAATGAAATATAACAATGGCGTCTTTGAAAAGCCAATTATCCTTGTGAAAATCAGATGAGAGATGCCTCTGGATTGTGGCCAAATTAAAATAAGTGAAGCGCTGTGTTTCAAATTGAGTTTCAAAAAATGATGTCCTGGTATAATGAGATTGTAACTGTCCAGGTGCAGTGGGTACATGGTTAAAGATTTTGCCCTGAAGAGAACCAGCTAGGCTTCTTTCCTAATGAAGAAAGGTATGTCCCTTATAGATTACATCATGTAGACACTGGAAGGGATCTCGACTTTTATTTTAGTACTAAAATGTCATTAAGTAGTTCTTGAAATTTTGAATGACTTTTAGTGATCCTGAATTTACAGTTTACATTCAAACTTGGAACTGACTTATATACAGCCGGTCACGCCTGCAGTACCTCATATCCCTAATAATATTACCATTGACATAAGCTGAACCTGCTTAATGTTACCATCTTTTCGCTGCCAGCTGGAAATGATCAGTCTCCTCTCTCTCTCACTGCCATTCTGGCACCGTGTGTGTAGAGAGGAAGGCTTGCTACCAGTGGCCTGCTGTTCACACACACATGCTGTCAGCTTGTCAGGTCACCCAAAACTAGAGGTCAGTCCAAATAAGATAATCACGTAAGGCTAGGGACACTAAAACACTAAACAAATGCATGTATCAAAGACAAAAAGCTACTACTATAGCAACTATAAAACTGACTAATTTAGACTAGTTATAGATGAGCCTGTGAAAAGGACAACCAGTGTAAGTAATCGGTGTAGGACAGTACAACTCAATGACGATGACCAATTCAAACTGAAATGTTCATAAAGGAGGAAAAAAGCAGCAAACTTAAAAGCCCAAGCCATTAACCATCCTAGCTAAAGCGTACTGCCATGATGGGGGTGGATTTTTTTTCCATTTACCTCTAATGAGGCGGATCACTGGCAAAAAGAATGATGCAACTTTTTCTTTAAAGGTGAATATTTCATATTTGGCTTTGTTAATGGCCATTTTCTACTCTGTTTGATGTATCAGGTCTCACTTTTACAAATACCCCAGGCATATCTTTTCAACATCTGGGGCTTTAAGTTTAAAGCGCATTCACAGGAAGGAGCTCACTGCTAAAAAAAATGAAAGCTTGATAGCAGTAATGGTGGATAGCTGAACGATTGCTAAGCAGTGAATGGAGGAGAAAATGAAGTGGACTTTTAGGAAAGATGTGGACAGCGTCAGGATAATTAGTTCATTTTTTCTCAATGTGCCGTTAACCCATTCCATGAAGCTCTCTACGCTGTTCTTGAGCTAATCTGAAGGCCACATGAAGTTTGAAGGTCTGTAGCGACTGACTCTGCAGAAAGTTGGCGACCTCTGCGCACTATGCACCTCAGCATCCGCTGACCCCGCTCGTCATTTTACGTGGCCCGTCACTTCATGGCTGAGTTGCTGTCGTTGCCAATCGCTTCCACTTTGTTATAGTACCACTGACAGTTGACTGTGGAATATTTAGTAGCGAGAAAATTTCACGACTGGACTTGTTGCACAGGTGGCATCCTATCACTTGGTTTTATACACCTGTGGCCATAAAAGTGATTGGAACACCTGAATTCAATGATTTGGATGGGTGAGTGAATACTTTTGGCAATATACTGCAATTAGTACAATTTTAGCACCCTCAGTATAAAATACTTTCCCATGTCCCTGCAAGACACCAGCTTGTCTTTCCGAACCGAATTCTGGATTTTGTGTAAATGAACTGCATAAAGTTTTGTAAAGATAAATGTGTATTGTTATTATATTTTTAACATATTGCTAACCCTTGATGGGGATGAACTGGACCATAGAGTGGGCAGGGGGAGTGAAGCTTTCTGAATGCTCTTACCAGCAGTGGAAGATGAATCAGAGTCACTGCAGCTTGATAACAGATTTTGCTATCAATATCAGCCAGCTTGGAATGAAATCTAAGCAGGGCTTGTGGATGGGCTTTTAACATTTATGAGGAACAATAAATGCCCATCCATATAGGGCAGTCTTTCAGCAGCACATATCTGGTTTTCTCCCCTGTTTAAAGGTCAGCAGTGTCGGACTGTGATCACTGCATCACTGCTTGTTCACATTGGCAGGAGACGTTGTACTTTTCCATTATGATGTATTTTTTCATCAGGGAGGAATTTTAATGGAATGGAATGGGTCAAAGAATGAACAACGCAGTTTAAGACAAGTCTGAGCATAGGCATAGCACAATTTGAGAAATGTACATCTTGCTTATTTGCCATGTGTTCCATGTTAATAAAATCTGATAAAA